GGGGTTACTAATGTCCACTGTTACTAGCTGTGCTTCATCCCCCTTCCTGTACACCAAGTATGTTCAGGAGCGTCTTTCCTTTTGGCTCTCTGCACACCTTCAGCCCTCCCGACTCTGAGCCAGCAGCACATCACTGCGGAGCGCCCAGGGGCCATGGCCAGCCCCAGCGGACACGTCCACCCTGCCAGCCCCGGCGCTGAAAGGTGAACTGGGAGCTGCCCACGGCTGTGCTGGGTGTCTCATCTCACCCACTCCCCTGCCTGCCAGCGGCGCCAAGGCGGGGAAGCCCAGACCGAGTCATTTCTGTGTCTAGCAGGAAACGCATGCAAATGCTAGAGCTTGAGAGCACCGTTTAGGAAAACCCCCAGCTCAGCAGCCTCCCAGGGATCTCAGCCCCTCAGCTGTGCCACGGGTGCTGGCAAGGCTCAGCACTAAGGGTGCGCACAGCCTGGCACTGCAGGAGGGGTGCACAGCCACACGCAGCAGCTGGAAAACACTGGAAGTGGAAACTCCCAGGGGGAGGAAAAAAACAAACAAACCCACACCTGGAGAACAGGCTGTCCCACACCGTGTAAGGACAAAGAACAAGCCTGCCTTTTCCCCTGGTTTTGGCCACCAGTCTCACAACGATGGAGCCAACATGCTCTGTGCCAGACTAACAGTGTCAGGCCCACGTAGGACCTTGGCACTGCTCTCCAGACAGGCACAGGTTTGTACAACCACACTTCCAAAATGGGAAATAGCTCTCAAAACCAGGAATCCTTTACCCACCCCAGCAACAGAGCAACTCAGTTGTTTTCTCTCAGGTTCCTGGTTCACCCCTTGGAGGGTGCCCTCAGAGTTCCATGGCCACAGCCTGAGCAAGAGCATGACACACAGACCTGAGCCGGGTCCCCAGCTGGACAGGCTGAAGTCCTCACAGCAATGCTAAGTAAAGCAGCAGAGCATCAACAGGTCCTGCTTTTCCTCAAGCTCTCAGATCTCTCCCTTCAGGCCTGCTCTCCCTCTTTTAATATCTTGGTCCCATTTTTATGCTCTTGATGCTAACAGGACCCACCTGGCCAGGCACCTTGGCTGTGCCTCTTGGCTGGGCTGCCAGTCCCCCATCAGCTGTGGCCACTGGCTCTGCACTGTAGTAAACAGCATGTACTGGGAAGGCCACACCAAATCTCAGGGCTAATTTCTTCTTTAAGCATGAGTGGGTTTGAGCCTGAGTTTTAGCTGTTTTCCCAACCTCCCTACAGCTTTGGATGGGAGCAGATCTGAGGAAGCCAAAGCCCTGGGTGGAGTTTCATTGGCTACACTGGGTGTAGGTGTCTGTCATGGACATCATTGCTAGACAAGGGAAAGGATAAGAAACAGGTTTAGATGAGGTTTGAGGTGTAGTGACTTTTAACCACAGTGGACAGTCGTGCACCATGACCTTTTCTGCCTCCCTATCGCACTGTGACTCGTCTGTGGAGCTGGGGAGTGGGCTCTCTGGGGCTGCACTTAAATGCCATTTCCAAATGACTCTCAGTGCCCTTTCTGCTGCCCTGGAGCCAGACAGAGGAAAAAACCCAGGTGGTAACCAGGCAAACTAGATATGCCTGTGTATGATTTGGATATAATGTTCTTTTTTCAACATAATGGTATAACACATCCTTGTGGCCCTGCTAGTCTGATACCAGGGTGACTAATGCAGGATAGTCCCTAAACTTGAGTACACCCGGTGCCTTTCGAAGTGCTGATTACAAAAGAAAGGCAAAAGCTTTGAGACAAGGGGATTACCCGACACACATCTAATCTCGAGCTCTGTGTCTGTGTCATGTGATAACCAGGTATACTGTATCCCATGTGTACTGCATCTTGCTGGGGATATTACATGTGGCTTGTGCTGTGTCCCCATGTGGGCTGGCCACATACACCCCTTGGCTGTGGGGACCCATCCATGGGTGCTGTATGAAGCCCCACGTGCTGCGTTGGATACACACTGCCATGACTTCCCTTTTCACTATATGCTTTGTAACCTTTGGGGTGTTGGTGGTCCATCCTCTGGGATTCCGAGGGCCTGAAGGACTTGTCTGCATCTCTCCATCCCTGCTCTGCACAGCACACAATGGCCATTGTTTGCCTTCAGGGCGGGTGAGCAGCCTCTGGCTTGGGAGGAACAAAGCCCGGAGCCAGTTCCTGCCAACACAAAACATGCCTTTTTGTCACTTCGTGACAAATTGGTTTGTCAGCAGCAGGAAGTGATGTTACTGCCATCCTCACTAAGGGGAAACTCCTCGTGGTTTCCATGGGGATCTGTGCAGCTGTAGAACTACAGGTTTATATAAGCTGAAAGCCCTATGCATACCCGCTGTGTGCCAGGTTTCTAAGAGTCTTCTCAGGTACAAGGGGCAGGGTCTCAGCTAAGCCCCACAGGGGGACACCTGGCTTCTGTGGAAGCCAGGGGAAACAGGAGTTCAAAGCTGTAAACCAGAGTGAACCATGTACCTAGATATTCCAAACAAACAAAACAGTAAGGCAGGGAGAATAAAATGAGGGGCAATAAGGGAAAATGCCTCCCTAACACTTTTACAGAAGGTAAAGTTCATCTCAACTGTGCCATCAAGGTGTCCTTCAGCTCTGCCATGCACAGGCTCTGCCACTGCCCATCTCAGTCTCAGCCCTTTGTGTCTCCTTATCTGCCTCATACCTCCTCCTCTGTCCCTGCCTTGCCAGCTACTCCAGTCCTTCCTCCCCTGCTCCCAGCAACCCTCCCAGGTAAGCACATCTGTCTCCCCAAAACTGTGGCACTGTGGTGAAGTTTGCAGGTTTCACTCTGATCTCTCTTCTTTTTGCTGTTGTTTTTGTGCCCTTATCCTCCCTCCTCTTCTTTGGTCCGGGAGCAGTCTGGGATCGATCCTGTCCACAGAGAGTTTGCAGAAGTCTATGGACTCTGGGCACCGTGGGACTCTGATTATGGGAGACGGCAGAGGGATCACAATAAAGACTTGGAAAAGGACACTGCATTTCCACAGAGCTGGAAGTGCATGTCAGTGCCTCGCTGGGACCGAAGCCCTGTGGTTGCTGGCTGGCTTTTCTGCCATGGGCTTTGTGCTGAAGCAGCTCTCTTTTGCACCCCTCTGTCAGGTGCCTGCTTAGGTTATAAAAGCTGATCGGCTGCCAGGTAATGAGTTTTATTGTTCCAAGAAACACATAAACAAGCTCTCCCGGCTGACGGGGAGCGGATTTCTGTTTGAATTGCGATTAACAGGCAGGATTTTTTTTTATCAGTTGCATGGCTGGGGCTGCCAAGGTTGTATTTTTCCACTGAACGAGCTCTGCTTTGCTTTGAAGGTGAAAGTTTGTTCCACTGTTTACTGCAGGTGTAAAGAGGCTCATGTATTCAGGAAGAGCCTTGCACACTTGACAGGTAGGTGCAATCCCACAGAGCAGCACAACCTGCCAAAGGACTTTCCATGGACAAAGGGTTTTGCAGGATTTGCAACATGGGACAGACTTTGGGGAAGAATATTCACTTTGAGGTTCATGTACGCTTTAGGAAAATAAGGGTTTCTAACTTTGCTTCTTAGTGCCCAGGGACCTCTCCTCCTTTTAGCTGCTCCATTTTTTTTATCCCTTGGTGTCAGGTTGAAGCTTGGCGATGGCTGACGTGTAGTGCTGACGACAGAGCTGCGTTGGAGGGGTAGCTCACATGGAAGAATTTCAGACGCAGCAGTGCATCATCCCATCCTTCAAGGGCACCTTCTCCCAGGAGAAGAGTCCTGAATTTTAGCACCATTAATATTCCAGGTAACTTGCAGGATTTCAGCAGGAGTTTGTGGTGCTTTGTTTGCCTCCAGTTATGTGACAAAAGCACAGCTGCTTTAGGCTTAAAAAGCCCCTGAAACACCTCAATTTTACACAGAGTCATAAGCTGCTATACTGCCCAAACAAAACCATTTTTGATTTGACTCTGAACATCAGAGGTGCAAGGACTGGTGGCTCCCTTCTAGAGTGGATGTAGGACACCTGATGACCTAGTGCTTCCCCCAGCATCTGTCTCACTGTTACCAGAATTACAACCCTGCCTAGGAAAGCAAGCTTCCAGCTGCATCTCTTCCACATCAGCTTCCCTGGGTAAGGGTACATCACAGCAACCCTGTTCCCCACTATGTATCCTACCCCACACACCCCATGGAGATGCACAGTTCTGTCACACCACACAGCACTAACCCCACACCATTTGCTGCCCATCACCCACACCCCATGGCTCCTGCCCATGAGCTGCCAGGAGTGCTGGTCCCCTAGCTTCCCTGCTTGGCTTTTGATATGCTACATAACTCTCCATTGCCTCAATTGAAAAAGATAAAAGTCACTAGAGTGAGAATCTGCAGGAGGAGAGAACTTACTTGGGTCTGGCTAAGACAGTGACTTGTTGGTTACTTGATCTCATGTTATGCCCCCATTTGTTTACAAAGATAGCCCAGCAAGCCAAATACTTCAGTCCAGGCATCAGAAGCAGCTTGAGTTGCAAAAAGCAATCAAGGAGGTGGGCCAGAAAAAGAAAACACCTTGGCACAAACTCACAAGCACTGGGGATCTGTTATCAACAGGCCAATTTTTGGACTTAACCTTTGAAGCATTAAAAGTAAACAAGCAATAATGAACCTTCTTCCTCCTTCCTAGGAAAAGAACTATTTTAAAATCACTGTAGCTTTGTGCCCAAGTCTCAGCTGATTCAAACTGTTACAGCAGTGTCCACCACTGCAGCCAAATCCACCTTACAGTTCAGAAGCCAGCCTTGGCTCTCTGCCACTGCATATAATTATATGGGACAAAGAAAAGCTCAGGATAAGAAGCAGCAGTAGTTTCTAGTCAATTATACTGCTTAAACCCATTTTTCCATCTAATTCAGTGAAAACATGAGATCAGAATTGGAAATTCAGATTTCTTACAGCTCTTCACCTGGGAGTTTCCACACAACTTTTAGGACAGTAAAATGCAAGACCTTAAAGAACGCATCATCCAGCTCAATAGAAATCATAATTTATTCTGTTTGTATAAAAAAGTTATAATCATGTAACAAAACTATGTCTTCATAAGAAGAAATATATTATTTCACATCATAAATAAATCAGCAAACATACAACCCTTGGCAACTCAAAAAAGCACTCGCCTGGTGCTTTTACGTCAGTGCTTGGGAAACAAGAAGAGCTGACATACACACACAGGATTACAGTACCAAAAAATACTGAGGTATTTGGTTTCTCTAAAAATTAAGCTTTAGGTTTGTAAAGGCAAAAAACCCCCAATGCACTACTGTAAAAATAAATAAATAGGACTGTCATATAAAAGGGGACAGCATCAGTGTTGCTCAAAGTGTCCAGGAATGGGAATACCGGTGAGCATGCTACTAAACATGGAACAGGCTTAGGACAGACGAAAGACAGAGGAATAGCTCAGGAAGAGACAGTGTCCATTGATCTCTGTGTAGACATCCAGATACTGGCTTGAAAAGTCAGCAGAATTGGTAACACCTAGTTCTCTGGCATCAGGTGAGCTCCCTCCGTTTACGACACTGTTCTGGGATGCATGGATGGTTCCCACAAAACACAAGTGGCTGATGACACTGTCCCTGTAGTTATTGCACTTCTGAGACAGTAAGTCTGAGTTCTGACCATGTTTTCACCTGGTTTTCAGCAGCTCGGGGAAGTGGTGATGGGGCTCTGAAGATAGCTTAAAGCACTGGATGAGGTGTGAACAGGGATGGAGACTGGAAAGTTAAAGACAGTGGTAGTCGAGGCTCCTCTGTCCAGTACTGCCATAGCAGGGCTCCCAGCTTCTGCTGAGCAGTTGGGGGCAAGGACCTGCGACTCAAACTGAAGCAGCTGCCCCATGAAGCTGAAGTTTGGGGAAATGATGCTTCTTCTCTGCTTCACAAACTCAAAGGCTTCATCCAGTTTGACTCTGTTGGTCCTCATGAGATAAGCAAGGCAGATGGTTGCTGACCGGGAAATGCCAGCCTGGCAGTGCACAAATACCCTTCCTCCATCATTTTTAACTGAGTCTGAAAGAATTAAAATACACAGTTAGCAAACAAGTCCCACTGCTTCCAGAGGTGGGAAAGCAGCACAGGCTGCTGTTTTATATTTCTTTCATCCATCCCTTCCTTAGCCTAATAGGTACACCCCGTGCTTTTGAGACAAAGAGAGCCTTTGTCCCGAGGGAACCAGCAGTCAAGCTATTTTCATTCTAGGCTCCAATTCCAATTATACTAATAGCTCCTCCAGGTCACTTTAGCAGTCTTGCAAGATTACTTTAATGCTGATCTGCTTAAGTTCACTAGCTCTTTTCTATAAGAACCAATGCCTCTTGATTCAAGATTTCAAACAGCTTTGTGAAGCTAAGATTAGTCCTCAGAGTAGAATAAAATTAACGGAAGTGTTCCCCGATTATATCTCCTCAATAGAACAAAACTCCCTAAACGCAAATTTAGGTTTTACTGGGGAAAACAACACCCCAAAATCACTTCTCAGGGTACATTACCCCAGAAAAAGAACAGACTGTAAAGAGAGCTCATTTACCTATGAAATCAATAGCCTCGTTAAACCAGGAGCTGATATCTGCCTTGTGGTTGTCCTCCACGGGGATACTTTTGTACTGGTAGTGCCCTTCAAAGTGGTTGGGGCAGTTTGCCGAGACGTTGATTAACGCCGTGATCCCCAAAGCGTCCAGCATGTCTTTTCGGGAGGCATGGTAAGCGCTGCCCAAGTAGAGGAACGGCAGGATTTCCACGGGCCCACCCTGGAACAGAAAGGGCAGGCAACCGGTTAACTTCGCCCGGCAGTTCTCAGCCAGCCTCCTCCCCTCCCCTTCTGTCGCACGACAGCCGCTGGCTGCCTGCTCGCCCTCGGGCCTCGCACGAAGCCGCCGGAGCTGCCCCCCCCCCGCTCACCTGGTCGTAGAGTGGGG